AAAAAAAAGGTAAGGGACTCACATATTGCACAAAATTGTTCCAAAGAAGTCGCAGTATGAAGGTCACGAGATTCGACTGATTGTAATCGTCGACGGTGTCAAGGAAGAACAACTTGTACTCAGCAACACAAATACATGTACTGAAATTCGTGACCTAAGACTCACTTCGTGAAATCCGAAGTACCTGTAGCTAGTCTTATCGACGAAGTCGATTAATCCAAACAGGGATCCGAAAAAGGAAAGATACCTGTAAATGACCATGAGCACTCGGTTCTGACATTCCACAGTGCCACTTGCCAACACATTTAGCAATGTTTTCGCGGAGTCTGGCTTCCGGGCTATCTGAAAAATTGGCCATTGAGATTAAACCTTGACGTTGATTGAAGGAACCAACTTCGAAGCGAAAAATACAAGAAGTTAATGAATTCACATGTATTTTACTCTAGAAAATTTTTGGGTTTTGCCCTGGAAAATTTTTTGAATTCGAAACATTATCATCAAATCTACTCCGACAGGCATGCAAGGATGCTCTAAACAAGGAATGTTGGAATAAAAAAATCATTAACTTCGCCCATGTCCCCCAAGTTTAAGAAGAGTCATCGCAGAAGAATCTGAATGAATCGCTTTATCTCTTCCACTTCTACCGTTACCATTCTACCGGTTTCATGAGAAACTTCATGAGTCAAGTAGATCTACGGCCGCTCACCTGAATACAAGCGGCTCGACCACATTCGTCTTGATTTCTGGTAAGATTTGCTAGGCAAATCAGGACGTTGTCGGTGATGGAGGCGATCAGTTGACGAACATTTGCCAGCGGAATCGTCAGGTAGTTATTACGATGGTTAAGCACACTGAGTAATGTGTCCGGAGCCTGAGCGGTTACCATCGACGCCTAAAATATCCAGAGTAAACAAATAAACAAATAAATAGTTCATTGAGGAAAAATGGCTGTACATTTGTCCACAGTATAAATTGCTTATTTGTAGAAGAGAACTGACTGATAGAACGAAGACAAAGAAGAAAGAAGAAAAAGATAAATGCATTCAGGACCGAAAAGAAATTCCTAGAAAATACAGTATGGTAAAAACTAACTATCAAAACATTTCGAATAACATGTAGTGGGTAAGTAATGTGGGTAACGAAGTACCTTATTCCGTATACTGTTTGCTGAGACATTCAGTAGGAACGCCGTACCGTGATTGACTAGAATCGGGTCGTGGGCACCCATCAGTTGCAGTACCGACACGATAGTGTTGCTGATGTCCTGCAAGCTCATTATTAAGTGAAGTCCAGAAGAATCTCGGAAAAAAATTGAATAGCTCTACTTGGACTTCTTAAAATTCATAGACCTTCTGATACGAGTTAGCTTACAAAGTAAATGTGCGGTGAGGTAATTTCCGCTCTGTCTAGTACCTATTAAAGGGTTACTTGGGCAGCTATCGAATGTCTCAATGACAACAGCTCCCTAAAAACCCTAAGGAGAACTTGCTGCTTACCTGAGTTTCCAGAGCCTCCTTCAAGTCTCCTACACCTGCTAAACAATGGAGTACTTCGTGCAGTAACATGGTTGAGCCATGCGAAAGGAGATTGCCAAAAATCTGAACACACGCATATTAGGGAGCCTTTGAACAGTCCCTTCAATTGTTTTTAGGAAATTTCAACAAAACCTCATTTTGGCTGTTTTAAATAGTGAGTTCTTAATAGAATTACACCACTACTACAGTTTCGTGGGCAGCACGGGAAAGAATTCCAGCGAACTTACCTGTACACCTCCGAGTTTGACGAATTCAATGCCATATTTGGCCGATTCTGTCGAAATAAGTGTGAGGAGGGTGGTGGCACTCGATCTCAGCACTTTCTCCTCATGCTCACATGACATGAACTCCAAAAGCTTCTCCATTCCTTTACTCCGTACAAAGAACTCCTGAAAACCATTTCTAATCATAAAGGAGACCAACGATGAAATGGAGGGCTACAAATAAACTATTCATACCGAATAGTTATGAAATTTTGATTATTATAAGGTAATAATTTATAAAAATGTTCAAATTTAATATTTTAAATTATGCAGATAAAGTAATAACACTAATATTTTAAATAATAACAACAACAAAACAAATCAGTAAACCCGCAACCATAGTTTTATATAATAGAGTCATATGAATACTGGAAATACTGGTCAAATAAGAATGAATAAGTTACATACATAAAATATAAATGAAATGAAAAAATTATTTTATCTGTTTTCGAATGATACGAAAAAATCGAAGGAATACTAACTAATGGTAAGTCACATGAAAAATATGAAAAAATATGTAAAATATTTAATGAGTGAATAAATAAAAATAAATAGAAATAATATATATAAAATAAAAAAGTAAAAAGAAAAGATTATATAGCTCACCTTGAGGGGCAAATTCCGTGTGATGAGCATCCGAATCGAATCAATTATGAGGGATTTGTGTGAGGATGACGTCGAACCCAAAATGATCATCAGCTGACGGACAAAGTACTCGTTCCTAAACAGTAGCTTTTACACTACAAAGGCCACGAGTTTGTTGTCAACAGCATTTTTTCATGAGTAAGCCCTAAACGTGACCCTTATAAGGCATTTAGACTTTTCCGAATCCCTGCATCGACAAACACATATGATCAGGAGTATAATAATGGGTTCAGGTGAGGGGAGATCGAGGAAAAGATATCACCAAGATGCTGGAAGTTGTGAAGTAAAAATCTACCGCCATAGACGGGATTTGAACCCAGGCCAGTGTTTTTTAAGCCTGTGTTTTGTTTGTTTTATTTCGAGCCTGTGTTTATCAATTAAACTACGGGACTTAACCGCCTCTCTTTAATTTTCTTTCGGTTTATTATAATTTATCAAGTAGTGAGCAAAATAAAACAATCAAGGGAATTACAACAGCTGAACCAGTCCTTTTTCTCTTCTCGCCGAGAAATCCCTCCGTAGATTCCCCCAAAATTCCATGGCTCTACGTACTTTGCAAGGTAGCATTGCCGACGCATCGCGTTCCTCAGAATGCAGTGCAAGGAAATAAATAAACAAAAGAAATAAGTAAGCCATCACTGCTTTGAACTTACCGACACATTCGTCGGAAACCCCTCAGATCTTTTTTTCGCAAAATCGCAGTAAAGGCTATCACCGTCCACGCAGTAAATGGATGGTCGGGCCTGAAACGGATGGAAGTAAATTTAGAACGACTGGTAGGCTCTGATGGATCGATTTAGTGGCGTATTAAACTTACATTAAATACTTAGCGATAATGTGAACAAGGATTTGCTGAATGTATCGATCTTGCATGACAACAAAACACGTCCGACAATTGAGAATGTTGAATATTGACTGCATCAACTGGGTGATGTTCTAAAAATTTGAATTCAGTCTTCTTTCAGAAGTACGAAAACGCTAAAATACTAACACAAGCCCAGACAAGGGATCGAATCCCGTATCGTTATCCGTTGTGAGGGTAAAAACACCCACTTACAAAAGCTTCAAGAAACAATTGCATGAAACAAGTGCACACTCAAAACGTCCCGAAAAGAAGTCAATCATATCTGTGCTCCCAAAATTTAACTAATAGCATCCGAAGAAAGTTTGTCGTCTTAATAATTATCAACTTTTATCGTCACTTATCACCGATTACAAAAATTTATCACTCGATAATCTCTTAGTCGTTAAAAGGACGGGTAAGAATCCATATAAGCTCCGTCTAATCTCCGAAGTAACTATTTCACTGACAGATGCCGATAGTTGGTTTTGCATCGTACTGTTGAATATTTCGACCCCGTTCTTCTAGAAAAGCAGAGCGCTGCCGCCCAGTTCTCACCTGTTCGATGGTATGTTCGAGAACAAACTGCAGGAAATGACAAATCAGTTCTCGCAAAGTTGCATGGTTTGAAACCATCGCCAGAAGTCGTTGCCTAGCCATACTCTGCACAGAGTTTGCAGCTTTCCGTCGGATTTCCTGAAAGAGAAGTTGTATGTTCACGTCACTTAGTTGAATGCACATTCAGCCGCAGCGCAATTTTGGTCATGAGGTTTATAATTAGAAGTTGTTTCAGATTACTACCTATCAGTGCTCTCGATATTATTCAGAATTACTCCTATTAGCACTTCAGTCCTATCAAATAACCAATTACTACGATTACTTAGTGGTTGTTAGTGATTCCATGATTATCAAGAGGGTCTCTACATCAGCCCTATCTCATTATGATTCTCAATGATTATAATAATACTTGTCAACCTATTGCACCGATTGGTACTACTGGTTACAATGTATTATTACAATCATTTCGGGGCTCCTTCATTCCTATCCAAAATCTTGAATATCCCCCTCTCCGGCATGAATCAAGCGCCGTTGGGCGCCATCCTTGACAGAATTTAACGGGCAGTAACAGTGACGCCAAAAAGACGGTCCGACAAAAGATTCGGTCTGAAACAACGCCAATCCCTTCAAGACGGAACTGATAGTGGAGACTTCATAGATACTTTGAGCCCGTCTGATCATTTTTAGGCTGCTTTTTTGAGATGCCCATACCATCCCAGTACCACATGATCACCTCTTGGAAGGCTCATATCCCAACCCAATCGCTAGATAGGTTTTGCAGATTCAGCGGCCGTCTATGTAACGATAAACTCACCGGATCCTCATGCCTGAGGCTCATTATTAGCGTATTTACTTGACGATTAATTTCAAATATATTGCTTGGGTCGATGTTCTCCACACTTGAGGCTCCAGATGTTGTCTGGTATGCAGCATTCTGAAATAACATTGACATTTCATTCAGATTAGATCGGTCTAGTTAGTTTCCGTTACCAGCTAGATACTGCCAGATCAAATGTCTCCCAGAAAAAAAATGACTTGATTTGGAAGATATCGAGAAACTGAATTCTGTTTGCCAGTAATGCCGAAAAAACGCTCATTTTCCAATGAAACCATGTGAAAAGTTGGCCACTTCGGCAGAAAACGCCCGTCCCCATTACTAGTCGTCCCCAAGACAGCTCTGTACTCATATCGTTTATTACCACCACTATCGAAGGCTATTAATGCTGACCCATCTCACCTGTGTGTAATGTGCTTCAGTGAGCTGAGTACAAATGCTAAGCTGACTCATATTGCCCAGTGACATCTGGGACATGCCCGACATCATCGACATACCGCCACCACTGGCCGCTGACATCACCGAGCATGGTCCCGATTGCACCTGCAAAAATTCGCAATAAAAATCAAGTCGCATATCTGACATCCATGGATGAAAACCTTATAAAATTTCGTCAAAAAACAAAAAATCCTCATCCTTGCTCTCGAACAAGGGAGGAATTTAGTCTTCTAAAAAATTTCGAATAATATCTAGGCGGATTGAGTGGAGTCGGAGTACCCATTCCGAATATGGGACACCTGAACCTCAAGCAAATAGTAAGCGGTCAAGGCCTTCTTACATTGATAGGCCATAAATAAAACAATAAAATCTAGAGCTAATCCTTGCCCGATAAATACTACATGCCTTAATGGTTCTGATAATCAGGCCCATGCATTACCGTCTTGAAAACCAGGGGAGTGGATTTACTTGGTCACTTAGAAACAACTTCACGATTCGAATTTGCAAAATACGCTTCATGTTAACGAAGGTCCTCATGTGAGTAAGGTTTCATGAAAGTTGAATCTCTTCCTGATGAGTACTGAAAGATACCCGAATTCTTCGATAACTTACCCCATTTCCATGATATCCGGAAACTCCAGCCAGGTACTGACTGTCCATCCATTGAGCAGTCTGAGCATTACGTGCTGCACAGGTCTCCCGCAAACGTACTGCATCGGCCGCATTCGCAGGACGGAACGGTGATGCATGGGCCGAGCCGAACGCTGAACGCCTGAAGAATAAGAGGTTCGGTTAGGGCAAAAAAACAAAGGGAGGATTCATCAACCAAGAATTAGGAGCCTTGGGACCATTGAAACGCTTCATGGATTTAAAAGCCCATTTCACCCATAGAATTTTCCGAACTCAAAGGGGATCCTAGAGGTTATTTTCTCATAAGTCCTTCTTAACAACTAAAATCCAAAGCAGCAGAAGGAATTTGTAGTCCAGATATCCTATTATGGTCATCAAATCCCCTCTATTCGGTTTTTCCCTTCTTCCCCTCACACCCAGCTCTGGAAAAACCCCACTGAAGAACTCTTATGTGTCCTGAGACTGAAGCCTATCCTCTATCTCAGAAATGTCCTTGAATGGCCCGCTTCCCATACTCATCTCCTTTTTTCGTTGGTCTCACACAGCTCTTTTCTTCTCCACAGCAAAACGCAAAGGGTCTTTCTCTCCATTCTTTCTGGATCGCTCTTCAAACCTTCAAGAGAAAACTCCATTCTCCTCAAAAGAGCTCTCTGAAACTGTGAAGAGTTCAAGATGCTGCAGAAAGCATTTTAAAACTTGGGCGACCGGTATGTGCCCAACCAGCAAAGTATTTCAGCTACCCAAGGAACTTCGAATGAGCTAAGCTAATCGGTCTTCTGAATGGATCACTCATAAATTGGATCCAGCTAACCTGTAGGGTTAAGTACGACGAGCTATTTTACTTGAAGTTTCCCCGGGGACTGAAAAAATGCATATGAATAAGCATACCCATACGGGGTTTGCGGAGTGTTTGGCCGTGCCATAGCACACGATGGCGACGACGTCGATGGCACCTGTTGATCGTACGGTGACGGAACGGCGTACGCAGAACTCATCGGATCCATGAACGCATTCACTGTAAGACCCAGTTGAGGAGATCGTAAAGGCGACCGATCGAAATGGCAGAAAACATACGAAGCATCAAAGGACCCAATATTAAAAACGAATAAAAATTGGTGGAATAAAGGAAGTCGTTACATGCAAAAAATGGCCTATTAACCGAGTAGTAAACGAGCTTCAAGGAAAGTTGAATGCACTGTGGAAGGAACGGGAAAAAGAAAAGGAGAAGGAAACGTTATCATCAGAGATGTTTCGTGACAGGCGGAACGATTAGTGACTAAATTTAGTTTCCCATTCAAATCAATATCAATATAAATTAGCCAAAGCGACGGCTGTCCCGACCAAAACCAATCAGCTGCCCAAACTGAGCCCGAATCGCATGGATAAACATCAGATTTCAAATCGGCCAATTATCCCATTGATACCAATCAAGGCTACCGTAACTAAATGAACAGTTAATTTCTCTCCATTACCATTTCAAACGTATTAGTATAAAATTGAATTTTTCAATCAAACTATGATACTTATGGGATCTACGCCCACTTGTAGATGCCCGTATGGAGTATAGGTATAGTTCATATAGGTAGAGAAGTGTTCAGTAATTCGAAATTGATTAAAATAACAAAATAATCCATTTATTTAGCGACCAGAGATTTATTTGAAAATGGCCAACTTCCCTTTCACATCAGGTGACACTATAATTTTCATATAGTCTAACTGTTGACAGCTAACTTTTTCCCTTTACCTGATGGCCTGATGGCAATGTTGAGTTATATTTTCTAATTGAACTGACAGATCAATGAACAGTTTCATGGTGCTACTCAAGAGTGAATCTTCTAATTACTATTTAATTAAATACTTGTTGGTTACTCGAAGAAATCGAAGATCAGAAGGCCTGAACACTTTATGCGATGCAGTGATGATCGCTGGAACAGGGTGGTTACTGACTGGATCACCCGAGAGATGTAAAACGAGCACCAGAATGGCCACCAGCTCGATGATCAGACTTTTTTAGAAAAACTCTGAACGAAG